CTAATTATTCCAGAGGAAAACGCCAGTCCCGTGCAAAAAAGCCGTTAAAAGCTCGGTCCCGGGCCTAAGTCGCACCCCGGGACTATTCCAACCCCGGATTTCTGTAAATCTGTTTAAAGAACCTGTAGCCAACTCCTGGAAACAACAGATCCTTGCCCTATTTTCCCTGCAGTAAGGTTCTATATAATTAGATGCCCGAGCCTTAATTAATAGCGGGGCTACCGGTATAGGTTATATTTACAGATCTCTGGCGCGCGCATAGAACCTTTATCTCGACCTGCTACCAATTATCTTACGCCCAACTGGATTTAACGGAAAACAACTAAAAGAAGGAAAGATCACGCACTCTATACGCGTGACCCTCCGCCACCTAAACTATACGGAACCGATCCGTCTTTATATACTAGAGATTGGAAAACATAACCTAATACTAGGATAACTATAGCTGTATAAGTACCGCGTTAGAATTGATTATAATAACTAACGGCTGCTCTTCCGCTCCTCCTGTTGCCAGGCTTATTGCCTGCGCAAACCTGTTAATATATTCTAATATAACAATAATAAAGACCTGTATTAGAAAGCTTCTAATAAAGCACCTTATTTAATAACTAAACGCTTCTGTTCCCGACGGTCGAGCCTACGTATACGACACCGACACAACTACTGGCTTTTTAAGATAAACCGCTAGCTAAATAAACCTAAACCTAAACCCGAACCTAAACCCGAACCTAAATCTGAACTAGATCCTAATATAGAGCCCAACGCCGAACTAGATATCTGCCTGCTTAAGGTAGAGACGTTAGCCTAATTAGCCTAACAACCCGATTATAAAATCTTTGCTATTACTATTGCTAATATTAATAAGGCCTTAGCTAAAAAAAAGTATACTAACCCAGCAACAAAGGTCCCTGTGGAGTATTACCTGTTCTTAAAGAACTTCTCCCGCTAAAAGGCTAATAAGCTGCCCGAACACCGTATATACGACCATAAAATCGTCCTAGAAAAAGGAAAACAATATAGGTTCGGTCCGCTGTATAGTATATCCTAGAACAAACTAAAGGTGCTTTAAAAGTACCTTAATAACAACCTCGTAAAAGGATTTATCCGTGCCAGCTTATTACCTGTCGCCTCTCCTGTTATCTTTATTAAGAAACCCGGAGAAGGCTTATAATTTTGCGTTTATTACCGAGCACTTAATGCAGTGACAATTAAGAACTGTTACCTAATTCTATTAATCTAAGAAACGCTGGCCCGACTTAGCAAGGCTAAGTATTACACTAAGCTCGATATTATCTCGGCGTTTAATCGCCTACAGGTTGCGAAAGGAGATAAATGGCTGACAGCCTTCCGGACACGATACGGCCTATTTAAATACCTAGTTATGCCCTTTAGACTAGCTAACGCCCCTAGTACGTTCCAGCACTACGTGAATAATATGCTCCGCCTATACCTAGATATATTCTGCACCGCGTATATTAACAACATCCTAATATACAGCAAAAGCTTCGAGGAACACTAACACCACGTAAAACTAGTCCTTAAGGCCTTAGAAAATGCAGGACTGCAACTTAATATTAACAAATACAAATTCCACTAGAGCAGTGTTACTTACCTAGGGTACGTGATATTAACCAACGGAATTAGCATAGACCCGAATAAGATTAACAATATCTGCAACTGGGAGACCCCTTGCAACGTGAAGGACGTACGAGCCTTCGTAGGATTTGCCAACTTCTACCGACAATTTATTAACAACTTCTCTGGCTTAGCTGCACCTCTTATTACTCTTATAAAGAAGGGCGTGCAATTCTAATTTAATAAACCCTGCAAGAAAGCGTTTAAATATCTTAAAACAGCTTTTACAACTGCCCTAATTCTCCGCCACTTTAACCCGGATTTACTAATAACTGTTAAAGCCGACTTATCTAATTATATAAATGCCGGAATCCTATTATAGACCGATAAGCGTAGAGTTCTAAGGCCTGTAGCCTACTTCTCTAAACGGCTGAACCCCGCTAAATATAACTATAAGATTTATAATAAGGAACTCCTTGCGATTGTCCGGTGCTTTAAATAATAGCGCCCGGAACTAGAAGGTGCTGCACTTCCGATCTAGGTTCTTAGTAACTATAAGAACCTGCAGTACTTCGCCACTACAAAATAGCTTAGCCACTAACAGGCCCGCTGGGTAGAATACCTATCTCGTTTCAACTTTACAATTATATACCAACCCGGCAAGTTTGGAGAGAAGCCGGATGCCCTAACCCGCTGTATACAGGATATACCTGCGCAGGAAGAAGCCCGAGCCGCCCGAAATTAGACTCTGTTGCGCCCTAAGTTGTTTACCGAATTAAACCTTACAGAAACCGATCGCATAATTTAAGAAATTATTAAGGAAGAATACCCTAATAACGAATTTATATAAGAAGTCCTGGGACTAATATAATCTAGAACCCGATATTTAAAGAAAATCACCCTAAGTAAATGCAAAGTCCGCGATGGCAAACTATTCTACCGTAATCGCCTCGCAATTCCTAACTATAATAAATTAAAGATTAAGCTCCTCTAATATATATACAATTTACCTGTAGGCGGCTATCTAGGCCGCGGAAAAACCCTTAAGATCCTCTAGAGAGAATACTACTGGCCCCAGATGTTTAAGATAATCCGTCGATTTATAGCCTGTTGTTACACCTATTACCGCATAAAGGCTTTAAGAGAAAAATATAACGGCTTTCTAAAGCTACTACCGGTTCCGCTATATTGCTGGCGAGATATCTCCGTTGATTTTATTATAGATCTACCTGAATCCGAAGGCTGCACTAATATTATAGTTGTAGTAGATCGCCTAAGCAAGTACTAATATATTATTCCTTGTAAGACAATCACAGCTTAAGCCACCGCTAACCTGTTCTACCGGCATGTTTAGGTATATTACGGCCTTCCTAATACATGCGTTTCCGATTAAGGATTGCAGTTTATTTCCGCATTTTAGGACGAACTATGCAGACAACTACAAATTAAAGCCCGACTATTATTAGCCTTTCACCCTAAAATAGATGGCCAGACGGAAAAGGCTAATTCTATGTTGGAACAAGTCCTCCGTGCTTACATAAACTACTAGCAAGATAACTGGGTAACCTAGCTGCCGTTGGCTTAATTTAAAGCGAATAATACAAGATCCGAATTGACTACAGTAACACTGTTTGTCGCTGTTATAGGACAGAACCCTTAAATAGGTTTTGAACCCCCTACAGGAATACAGCGCCCTGCTTACTAAATGCTGCAAGCCTGTAAGGCTAATTAAATGATTAATAAGATAACCGATATCGAACAGTTTATCCGTGAAGAGATGACCTGGGCACAGGCGATGTAAGAAGAGTTTGCTAACCGTCGACGCACCGGTGCACCATCCTACCGCGTTGGCGATGAAGTTTGGCTAGACGCCCAGAACATCTGTACAAAACGAAAGTCCAAGAAGCTTAACTAGAAGAACCTCGGAAAGTTTCTAATTACGCAAGTGGTTTCACTATACGCCTATCAATTGGGCCTGCCTAATATAATAAAGATCCACCCTATCTTCTATATCTCTCTCCTACGGCCTGCCGCCCCGTCCTCAGATTACCTTCCTGGCCAAGAAAACTCTCCTCCTGAACCTGTTGAGATTGATAGCAAACCGGAGTACTACGTCGACTGCATTGAAGACCTCCGCTTTAACCGACGCCGAAAGCGACACGAATACCTTGTTAAATAGACTGGCTATAATAAGTTATCCTGGGAGCCTGCCTTAGAACTTAAGAATACAACAGCTGCCGCCAATTATTACCGCCGGCACCCTAATATACCTGAACCACCTAATACATCCGTATAATATAACGTTAACGCCTAAGAGACTTGGGTTTAGGGGGGGGGTACTGTTACGGTAACTACCCGCAACACCTTACCCACCACAATTCGCCTATTACGTGGCTTCGTCACCTGATCTCGCACGGAGCTCGTGAGCTCGCGCCATATGCACGTCCCGCCGGTATATCTTCTTCGCCAGCGCTCCTAATTTCCTGTTCTTTACATAATATCTTGAACCTCCACGTAATACTGTATATAGCACCTAATTAATGCTCCTATCTAAGCCTTATACCTCTGCTTATAGCATTATTATAACAATAAAAGTCTACTTTTAATAGATCTATTAACTCTATAGCCTACTAGCGTCTATTACTAGCAACCTAGGCATATAATTTACCTCTAAATTCTAGCGCTACTTCTACTACTAGGCGTGCTCCTTACTAAATATATCTACCGCGTTTTATCTAGAAATAGATAGACTAAGATTGCTAATATAGATATAAAGAAGTACTTACGCGCCTATATATAGTACACCCAGGACAATTAGTATAACCTGCTACCCTCTGCAGAACTAGTAACCAACACTTATATATTAGCTATAATAGGCCTATTACCCTTTTTTATAAATTATAGATATAATTTTTAATCTAAACTTAAGCCACCTACTATACCTAGTAAGACTAAAATATCTAAGATTAAAGAGGTTAAAGGAGAACTTATAGACAACCTTGTGCAACACCTAAAAGATATTAAGATCTACCTAAGAAACTATATTATATAGGCTTAAAAGGAGCAGGCTTACTAAGCAAACTAATACTATAATGCTGCAGCGGATATACGCATTAATAATAGGGCGTTGCTTCTCCTATACCCCCTAATTCCTAGATGTACACCCCTTTTTCACTACACGTACACCCCCTCTCCCTCCTGTTATTTCACCACCTTCTGATTGGCTCGGAGCACTACGCCGGAGCTCCGGGCATTCACCTATACATCACGTGAGGCTATATAAATCGGCGTGCAGCCTTTCCGATTCGTGCAGCCTCGCCGATTTGTATAGCCTTACGTACGAGCTCACGTATAAGCTCACGTAGTATAAGTATAAGTATAAGTATAAGTATAGAATAGAATAGAATAGAATTTCTATTCTAGAAGTGCCTACGTGCCTACAAGCATGCCAAACCTGTCAAAACCTCACCTTATTACGGCTCCTTTGCATCAAGCCTAGCCCCTTCGCATCACTGACTCCACCTACTCAATATCTCGATCAATTTCCGCCTTAATATCTTCATCATACGCCGCAAGCTGACGTAGGAGCTCCTTACGGCTGAGCTGCAGCTGAGGATGAGGCTGAGGATGAGGCTGAGCACTATCTTGCTTCTGAGCTTGTGGCTTTTTCCGTGGTACCTTATCCTTTGCACTAAGCGGCCGGCCGCGCTTCTTAGCTGCAGGTGCAGCCGTAGGTGTAGCCGTAGGTGCTGCTGTATACGCTGCTGTATACGCTGCTGTATACGCTGCTGTATGCGCTGCTGTATGCGCTGCTGTATGCGCTGCTATATTGTAGAGGGAGAGGAAGAGGATGTAATTGATTGTAACCAAGGCCGCATTTGGAGAGAGCATTCGGAATTAGTGAGCAAGTTAAGCGAGCGAATCGGAAGCTCCGGAGTAGCCCTCCGAGCCAATTAGAAGGTGGTGAAACGACAGGAGGGAGAGGGGGTGTACGTGTAGTGAAAAAGGGGTGTATATCTAGGAATTAGAGGGTATAGGAGAAGCAACGCCCTATTATTAATGCGTATATCCGCTGCAGCATTATAGTATTAGTTTGCTTAGTAAGCCTGCTCCTTTTAAGCCTATATAATATAGTTTCTTAGGTTTAGCATGCTGTTAGGTATATAGGCACTTCTAGAATAGAATTATATTCTATATTTAAACTTAGACTTAGACTATATAAGCTTGTATATAAACTTATATATAAGCTTATATATAAGGTTATATAAACTAGAAAGGCTATACAGCCTCTCTATTTTATAGCTTATTTTTTCCAATTTATACAGCCTTATATACAGCCTTATATACGAGTTTATATACGCCTAAGTAAATAATAAAGGCTATATATGTAAATGCACGCAAGAATAGAGCTCCGGATAAAGCTCCGAGCTGCTCTAGCTAATCAGAAGATTAGACGAAATAGGGGGTATACGGCTACGAAAAGGGGGTGTACTAGTACTAACCCCCTTTACAAAAGACCTATAAGTAGGTAATTAGTTCTTTAAAGTTAAGGTTTCTATTTACAATTACAAGTTGTATAATCCTAAGAATAGTACTCTAGCCGTATATTAAGACAGTATAGATAAGGCTATAGTTTAGATAATATAGAATTAGCTTAACAGAGGCACGCCTGTAGGTGCTATTTTTAACAACCTTATTACTAAGGGCAAGGATATAACAATATAGAATCTATATAATAAGAAATAGGAGTAAAAGAAAATAAAGCTTAAGAAGCTTACTCTAACTTAAGCTATACTTAAGGTACTTAAAGAATATAGTAGTAATAACCCGGACGCTTATTACTACTATAAATATAAGCTAGATTAAGTTAACTGTGTTAAGTATCTATACTTTATGCACTTTAAGAGTATTAAGATATTCTAAAGAAATCCTAATATAGTTCTTTTTAACTACACCTATAAAACTAATAGGTTTAAGATACTACTTCTATATATTAACAGTATTACCAACTAAAGCAGGAACTATAAGCTAGGCTACTGTTTCCTTCTAGGAGAAGAAGAGGAAGACTATATTTTTACTGTGCAGGAGCTTTACCTAATATGCCAGCGCCTAGGAGTTTTACTAGGCGTTTTTATCACGGATAAAGAGCTAGCACTTAAGAATGCGCTGGCTAAGTTCTTTCCTACTATTCCTTAAATCCTGTGTAAGTAGCATATATAAAAGAATATTACTAGTAAGGCTGTAGCTATCTAGAAGGATAATAAGCAAGCAGTAACAGATGCTATAGAACTAGAGGCCCCAGCACATGCCTCTTAAGATCTAATAGTAGCTGAGATTAAAGCTATATAGAGAGATTAGAAGAATTTTATTAGCAAGTTCAACTTCTACCTCTTAAAGCCTACGGAGGCCGAGTTTATAGCCGCTTAGAATAAGATTAAATCAGATTATGCGCATAAATAAGCCCTGGTTGATTACCTAACCAAAGAGTAGTAGCCTTTTTAACAGCAGATTGCTACATACTATACGGGCCTTCTGCTATACTTTGGCAACACCATAACCTTACGGCTAGAGGGCTTAAACGGCAGCATTAAGTTATATCTTCAGATCTTAACAGGCGACCTATATAACATAGTCACTCTTCTCTTTTAATACATTTACCGCCAGAGTATAGACTTAAAGAACCGCCTTGGCCGACAGCGTAGGGCTCCTTAGCATAATATTAGGATGGTGGAATTCAGTAAGGTTATTTAAAAGGTCACCGAGCAGGGCCTAAGGCTACTCGCCGCGCAGGTTAAAAAGGCTAAGAAGGACGACTTTAATCCTATATGCAACGGGACATTCTAAGGGACGTATAGCATGCCTTGTTGTTATAAGATACACCAAAAACTGCACGCTTCCTCGACATTAGAGTATAAGGTTGCCCTAGAGGATATCCATTAATACTAGTGGTTTAACCGTCCACTTCCAAATAAGGTAAACCTTCCTATAGATCCTCTCCTCCTTACCGAAGCTCCGGCTATTATACAGCGTCGTAAAGGGCGGCCAACAGGTCCTGCTGCGCCTCGTCAATCAGCCCGTGGCCGTGGCCGTGGCCGTGGTGGTGCATCCAACAGCTCAACTCAACATGATCTATTACAGTTCGAAATCACAGCTTAACAGGATTCAGTGAGTATAGCGCAGCGAGCACGACGACGTAGTGGAGGGCCAGGATCACGTGGAGGAACGTCGCATCTCCGGCGAGCTTGTACGACTACTGCTTATGGAGGAACTGTACAGCAAGCGCAGGATATTATAGGTGGACAAGAACTAACTTAATTAATGCAGATTGCGACACAGGCCAGCCAAATTACTATGGCAGGCGTCTCTACAGGCACGCCGGCGGTCGAGCGGACCATTGTAGTGTTGAACAATCCTCTACAGTTCACAAATACAGCACCAGATCGCTCCGCCGGACAAGCAGGCACTCTAACAGCAACCCAGGGCTCGATTTCCTTAGTCCCCGACAGCCAACCAGCCCCTAAGGATGCCCCATGTCCACGCCTAAGGAGGAGGCTGCTTGTGGTGAAAGAACCGGTGCAGCAGGAGGATATTCGGGTATGAGGCCATGGTATACAGGCCTAGTCGGCGTTTCTTTCAGTCAGCAATTGGACGGTGGCCATCTAGGCGCTTTCCGCTTCTAGACTAGCTAGAGTAGATAGAGTGAATAGACTCCTGTTGGCCTAGATGATGCATCCTTTCCGATTCGTGTATACATACTCTCCATTTTACGCAGCCTATACGGAGGCAAGCGAGTGAGTTTGATTGGTGGAACAATATTTATACGGGCCGGAGCTAGGCCTAATCGAGGGGGGGTGATGAATAAAGAAAAGGGGGGTGATAATTAGAGAAAGGGGGGTGATAAATAAGTTCGTCCTGGTTAGTGGAGAGGGTGGAGCAGGTTGCCCAACGTGGAATCTGGTCTGTGGCTAATTCTGTAAGACACTGTCGCTGACATGCACGTCATAGCGGGCGCCTTCCCCGGGCGTGCAGATATCGCTTCCAGTCTCAGAGCCGTAGTTTCCAGAGTCTGCCATCAATAAGTTTCCATAACTCGCAGCCTATGATATGTTTGAATCTATGGCACTACTCTAGCCGCAAAATGGAGAAGTCTTCTAGCCAGCCACGTTTCAACGGTTTCAGCATGTGATTGCGGCATGGAAGGTCGGGCACTAATGCGAAAAGCGCGACATTGCTTTCGGTCACTTGACTCTCCGGTCGCCCGCTTAGTGTGTTGGGCATCGACGTAATCGCCTCAGCCATAAGTCTCAAACTCCACTTTGTGTCCCATTCTCTTCTCTTCGGTTGGCACAAGACTCATCAGCGATTCGAGCACCATCTCTTGTCACAACAACCGGCTAATCAAATCGCGTCCTCTCGACATCCGCTATTAGAAGACCTTGCTTCTCAGTCCAGCGCCATTCTCGGTGGACTTTGGGAGCTGACGGGAGTCACTGTGCGCAGATTCTGCCTGGATTGCGAAGGGGCAGCCGCTCGTGATTCCCTCCATATTTGCCGTCAGGCACCAACGCTCGAGGATCGCACTTTAACAACTCATCAGCCCTTTTCACGTCCCAACAAGTCTGTGCTTCCACTCCACTTCGCTCAGCGCCGGTGCCGTAGTTGATTAAAAGGCTCGAAGTCCCTCTGTGTCTCGAGGCTCACCCGCCTCTTTGCGACCACCCTCACGCCGCACATGCAGTCGCAGCCCTCCTCTGACATCTCGTCTACACAAGCTGAGTAATAACAGGGTTACTCGTCCTTTTTAACCTCTTTACTGACACTTCCTACCGTAGCGGCTCCACACGCCGCATTTGGCGTATTCTATCAAGGATGAAGAGGGTGCCTACCTTCTTTTAGAAGGCACAACCACATTCTCCACAGCCAAGGTAAGTACAAGTATAAACAAACGTTGGGAAGCTGTGTGCCGAGCCACTGGAAATGAAGATGCTAAATGTGTCCCTAAGCTTGCCAATACATTGGCTAGGCTTACCTTTTTTCGTGGCAGCCGTAAGTAACCTCGGCGCACTCAACTCAATCCAAATTGCTAACGTTGTTAGGGCTTCTATGGATTAGCGGCTATTACTTGGGGTTTAAGCGGCAGATCCGTTGATATCTTGAAATGCAGGACTATTATTGTGGCATCAGCGAAGACTATTGGGGGACTGATCTTCAGGATTTAAGCCTGAATGCGATATTCAGAGGACAGATCATGGCTTGATAGATCAGGCTCGCTAGAGAGCGTATTTATTCGAAAATAAATAAGATAAATTCAGCGATTTGTACCGCCCCGAATGCTCGTGCTCGGGCTCGAGGGCCCGCCCATACGGATATAAGAGAGAGCACCGAGACACGAGTACCAAACCCCATCGCGTACACAACTACAGCTGTAGTAAGTCAGCAATCGTTTTAGAGATGGAATAGAGATCCCTTCACCGAAAATCAATGTAGGAGCTGATGGCGCCCACCCGATCAGTAACCCTTGCTATTTTAAATTCATAAAGTAGAAAATAAGAAGAATATAGAAGACAAGAAAGACGTAGAAGATAAGAAGGATGTGGAAGACTAAAAGAAGGGCAAAGTGGTGGTTATAGCGTATCGCTATCAGGTAGCGGGAGCGGAGCGGCATCTCCATTGCGTGGCCGGTAGCCCATAATTGGTGCCCCCACCTGGCCCACCCCTGGAGACACATTTCGCGTACAGTTGGCAGCTTCCACATAGCAGACCAAATTTGGACACCAAAGCGAGTTGAGGGTGAGCACCCTGAGCAGTGGCAGTGCAGCGTGAGCATACGAGCCAAAGTTGAGCCAAACGTAATTTTGCTTACAAAGAGGGGATACGGCGCTAACCAGACAGGGAAGCGGTGTGGGGTGAGTTTCGGAGGAGGACTCGCCGCAATGTCAAAAACGCCCTCACACTACCACCTGAGCCCTCTCATTCCCTGATTTCCACGCCACTGTAGGCTACAACAAACGCCGCTCTTCGCCTTCAATGAATACTTCAGGTAGCGAGCCGCAGAAGGCGCAGGGAGAAACCGGAAAACGTGCCCCCAAAGCCAACAAGTCATGTCTGCCCTGCCGTGTACGCAAGGTCAAGTGCGATGCCACCGTGATTGGCCTCCCCTGCAGCAGTTGTACCAGCAGGCAGTGCGCTAAGGACTGTGTACTACGTGTCCGTAAGGGTCGGTCTAGGTGAGTGGTTTACTGCTAGGATGGCTCATGGTTCCTGATTCATTAGGTGCGTGCTAACATTGATGGGGCTCATAGGAAAGTAATACACGTTTTGCCGGCTCCTAGCAATGTACAAGTATGCTTAGAATTCTCCCAGCTGCTTCTCTCGTCCCCCTTTTCTTCTGCTCCTTCGGCGATCCTTAAGAATTCCCACTAACCTGTTACCAGACCACACTCTCCCCGGCTACATCCCACAGTAGCCAGTTAGACAGCCTCAATCAATCTAATCAATCTAATCAATCAAAACAATCAAGACAATTTTCCACTTCCGATCCCTTGGACTGCCAAAACCCACGTCAGACTGAGCCAGACCTGCTCTACCTTAATATCCTAAACGACGCCGTGAAAGAAACTACAGAATCAAGTCAACATCACACCACTTCCAATACCCCCTACCGTTCAAGGCCGGAAGACAGCTTTACTCCTCGGAACTGTCTATGGACCAAGCTACCCCGATTGGATGACATTGACAATGAATATCTTGTCAAGAAGGGTGTCTTTGACCTACCTCCTCCGCACCACTTGTAAGACAATCTTAGAATCCTCCATCCTCCACCCTCTTTAGGTCTTCGTCTTCACTCTACTCACAGACAAAAACAACAGAGATGCCCTCATTAAGACATACTTTGACCACGTCTGCCCTTTTGCTCCCGTGATCAACAGAGCTGATTTCATTCGCGGCTATCAATCCGGCGACTGCTCTTTGTTCCTGCTCCGCGTCATATTGACACCAGCCAGTCTCTATGCGCCAGCAGATGTGCTATCCGCCTGCGGCTTTGCCAGCCGCTCGGCCGCGCAAGAGTCGTTCTTCTCCAAGGCCAAGCTGCTCCACGACTTTGCCGCCGAAGATGACCCGTTGTTGATGCTGCAGGGATCCATCATCTTGTGCATGGTGATTCTCGACCACCCCACCGACCGGGACTTTGGCTACTGGTTCCATAATGCGATCCGTCTTGCCACTAAGCTTGACCTACGCGACACGTGCGTTTCCTACTCCTGGACTGTGACACCTGTGACATTTATTGCAGGTACTAACTGCCTACTGACTCTCCGACAGGTGTGTTCGAGAAGACAAACCCCGTAAAATTATAAAGTTGTACAGAAGGATCTGGTGGACTCTCTACGTACGTCCCTCTTCTCGTCACCGTGTTCTGTTCTTCCTGCTTTATGCTTACTATAGCTACATAGTTTTTAGACATTTTCCACGTCTTTGTCAATACCAGACGCTCGCGACTACTCGAAAACACCTCCGCGATCAAGCCGAGGACGGAAGATGACTGGGAAGCGGAGGATGTCTCGGGAGCATCATCCGGCTTGCTATCGGCGGTCACGCCTCAGCAAAAGGCCTCGCCTGTTGTCCACTGCGAGTTGTCTCGAATATGTGCGTGTTGGTTCTATTCAATTCTTTATTCTTATTCCTTTTTATTTTTATTTTCAATCTGTAACTGATACCACAAGCATAACTAACTCTATTTAGTCGGACAGTGTTTGTCCATTGTAACAAACAAGCCACAGCAGGATCCTCGCCAAATGATGCACCCACTCGATGCATGGCGCAAGTCTCTCGCTACCAAGATGCACGTGGGTGGGAATACTGGAACTGACGTGTACTATCTGAATATACAAGCCATGAGCTACAGGTTTGAGTGCATCTTGTGTCGTCTAATACGACGCTGTTTGCAGCAGTCCCAACATGCGGACTGGAGCGAGTGGGCCAAAGAGCGGCTTCGGTCCGCTATTCTGGAGTTGGACACGATTTCTATGAGGGTGTTGGCGAGTGGTACCCTTCAGGACTTTCCCGTGTCTTTGTAGGTGCCGTCCATTTCTTCTCATTTTCCCATTTTTCAGACATGCTTTATAGAACGCACCAATGGAACTAACAAGGGCCTTGTCAGCATAACCACAATAACTGCGCTGCTCGCTCTACACATCGAATCGGCCCTCGATCCAGCCGAGACAGACCTCGTCCGTTCCATGGCTCGGATATCCATCAGCCAGACAATGCTTGTTCTCACCCAGGGAAAAGAAATACCCGCCCTGAAAAGAGCGCTGCCGGTATTTGAGGAGATTCTTGCCAAGAAAAATCTGTACTTGGTTCCACCCAACATTCTCGGTCAAGTACCTGCGCAGTGGCAGTCACAAGACAGCAGCATGGCGGATGCTTACACTTCGCCGAACACACAGGTCAATATAATTCCGTCTCAATTAGAGCAGGGTGAGAGTAATCTACCACTCCATGGCGATTTCCTAGGACTTGATTTCTTGGACGATTGGAGATTGGGCAGCTGGAGTTCACTATTCGATGTTGACATGGGTTCCCAAGAACGGGCGGAATAGAGGCACAGACAATTATCTAGCTGTAGCAATAACACAACCTGGGCCATTGCAGCAATCATTCTGCTTGTTTTTTATTTTCTCAGTTGTGATCAATTTCTGCGTGGTAAAGACCATTTTCAATATGAGAAATGCATGGCTAGGTAGCTCAAGTCCGATTGATCTCCTTCTATTTGATAATATAGTATTTTTATTTAAGGCAGGCAGTAAGGTGTCTTTAAAAATAACTCATACTTAGACTTAATAAGTAGAGTGGAATCTAAGTATAAGTAGTCTTGACAGTCTACCCGACTTGGAACGTTGACTCTCTTTCCAAGATGCACGGCGATAGAAGGCCGAGGAATGGGAGAGGCATCGGATACTACTAGCATGATGAGGTTCTTCAAAAGTATGACTAGTCGTCATTGCTACAACCGAGGACTCGCACGAGAGGATGCTTTACTCGGTAAGGTAGCGGAGAATCACGGGCACTTGGGGAGAGCCCGATTCGACCAGATTGAGATTACGTTTGTGACTCTCGTTGCTCGCCAACGCTCTAGAGCAGCTGAGGATATATGGGTGGTGGCTATTCTTCTTTGTCATTACACCACATTCACAGTACAAAAGATTGACATGGTTTGTGGGTACGGTCCTCGGGGTTTAAAAAAGAGGGGAATTTTAGACTCCTGGATACAGGTGTTTCATAGGTAACAATATACGAACTTGCCTTTATTTTTGTCTTAATACCCTATTCCATTGTTTATTATTTCTGGTTGTTTGGGTGGTTTCTCGTGTGTCTGAGACTGGTCTTAACTGATGTCTCTTACTTGATCGTTCGACGCAAGGAGGCCAGACAGTTCCTTTTGTCAGACATTTCTATTTGTAGCGAATACGACGTAATGTGACAGACGAGATGCTGCCCTCTGATACAATCTTACAAAATGTTTATTAGCTCAACTTTAGAAATTATGGAACCTCATTTTAGTATGTATTTTACCATCGTATTTGCGATTTAACCGTCCTATTTCGGGAGCATTACCCGACTTTGCCGAACTAATAAGAAAAGGTTTATAATTCCGTAAATAATTGCCGCGGGCTTTTATATCACTGAAACTCCGAATCCAAACTTCCGAAGTTAATTATAAAGTTTATAATTCCGTAGATAATTGCCGCGGGCTTTTATATCACTGAAACTCCGAATCCAAACTTCCGAAGTTAATTATATATAAATCGCGAACGCGATTCTTTACTTGCCGTGACAAAATAGCTACGTATAAAAATTCGTGAGTTTATCTCCGTCTACATCTTGAACCTCGACACTGGTATTCTTGTCCCTCTTGTCGTTCCCATCATGGCCGCTCCTCCTGAGCCTTCTGTCTCCTCTTCCGACGACCACCAGCGGGTCAAGGACTCCCCTCGAAGCATGTCCGGGATCCGATCTTATTTCTCCCGCATGCGCCTCGACGAGGATGTCTGCAACCAGAACTACTCCGGCAAGGGCACGGCCGACGACCCCTACGTTATCGATTACCTGCAGAACGACTACCAAGATGCTATGAATATTCCCATGCAGCGAAAATGGGCCATTACCTTCCTCCAGGCCTTGTCCGCGTTGGTGGTGACCTTTGCTAGCTCTGCGTACGCCAGCGGCATCGAGGACGTCAAGCGGCACTTTGACGTGTCCGGGGAGGTGGCCACACTGGGCTTGTCGCTCTTCGTGTTAGGGTTCGCCCTGGGGCCGCTGATCTGGGGGCCTCTGTCCGAGTTGTACGGGCGCAGGTCTATCTATGTGATTTCATTCATGGCGTTCACGGCGTTCAGCGTGGCGGCGCCGTGCTCGCCCAACATTCAGTCCTTGTTGGTTTTTCGCTTCTTTGCGAGCGCGTTCGGTTCGTCGTCGATGACGAATGGCGGGGGCGTCATTACCGACATGTTGACCAAGGAGCAGCGCGGAGTGGCGATGGGAGCGTTTGTCACGGCTCCTTTTCTGGGGCCTGCACTTGGTAGGTGGTCGATGCCCTTGCCCTTCTTCCATACTGCCTTTTTGCCATTTTGGCCCTTGTACCGGGTACTTGCTGATTCTTGGTTTATATATATTTAGGGCCCATTGCTGGTGGTTTCCTAGTCGAGACCCAGGGCTGGCGCTGGATTCTCGGTTTAATCGCCATCCTGGCCGGTGTGGTCTGGATTGCCACCACGCTAACCACTCCCGAAACATATGCGCCGTTCATCTTGCGATCTCGAGCGAGGGCCCTCTCCAAGATGACGGGAAGCGTCTATGTATCCCGACTCGATGCGGGAGAGCCGCCCAAGACACTCACGCAGGAGCTCTCGGTCGCTCTCTCGCGCCCCTGGATTCTTCTGTTTCGCGAACCCATTGTCTTGCTGATGTCGCTGTACATGTCTATCGTCTATGGCACACTGTACATGCTTTTTGCCGCAATTCCCATCGTCTTCCAAGGTTCCCGAGGCTGGAACGAAGGCACCGCCGGACTTCCGTTTGTCGGGGTCACCATTGGCGTCTGTCTTGCCACGGTGTTGTCAGGCGCGGACAATAAACGCTACGTGCGTCTGTGCGCGACAATCGCGGCAAAGGGGGCCACAGTTGAGCCAGAAGCCAGACTGAGTACGGCCATGGTAGGCTCTGTTGTCCTTCCGATTGGTCTGTTCCTATTTGCGTGGACGACGTATCCTTCGGTGCACTGGATCGCACCCGTTATCGGCGCCTTGCTATTCTCGTGTGGACTTGTCCTGGTCTTCATCTCGCAGCTGAGCTACCTGATTGACTGTTGTACGTTTTGATCCTTGCTTCGTGATCCCCGGCAACAATGCGCATGCTCACCTGTGTACAGATACCGTCTATACTGCTTCTGTGCTGGCGGCCGGTTCGATGCTTCGGTCCTTGTTCGGCACTGCATTTCCACTGTTTACAACCCAAATGTATGCGAATCTCGGAGATCAATGGGCGAGCTCTATTCCTGCGTTCCTGGCGCTTGCATGCGTGCCTATCCCGTTCCTGTTCTATAAGTACGGTCCGAAGATACGCTCCAAGTGTAAGTTTGCCTCTGAAGCAGCAAGGATGCTGGAGTTGATGCGTCGTGGACAAGGCGCCATGATGGGAGGCAAGCCAGAGAAGAAGGTTGAAGAGACTGTTTAGTGGAGGCTGGTCGCGACAGATTTATTGGCCCTCCTGCGATACGTGATATGGCGCCAGCATAGTAGTTTTAGAGAGATAGAGAAAGTATGCAAAGTGTAGATTCAATAATACAGTACAGAGAAGTTACTTTTATGATATTGTTATTTCATCATGACGGAAAGACTGTAACCTGTAAATAACGCCCTAAACGGTATTCCTATACGGTATTCCTATACGGTATTCCATAGTATTTTACGAAACTCCACGAAATTCCACAGTACTTGACGTTACTCTCACGAGTCTCTTTTTTCTTCTTTTAGATCCCCTGTCTATGGTAACTTAGAAATGAAATATCTCCTATAAGTCTTTCATCTGTCGCATCTTCGATTTTAGCGAACGAACGCATCGCGTGTCGTCTTCTCCGGGGCGGAATTCCCCCAGCTGGAACACAGCATTGAGAAGAGACTGGCTTTGCTGTCCCGCAAACAGCCCAGTGACCACATCCTTGCCGTCGTCTCCGGGCTTTGACGAAACGCGGTAGTGCTCTGGTAGGCCAACCAACATCTCAATCCGCTCCAGCTGGTACTCTATTTGGTGCACCAGCAGGGTTCCACAGAGTTTCCAGTTGGATAGAATCGGTAAGCCACCCAGGTACAACGTGGGTGTCGATGTTTGGTGATGTGATGACGATAAAGACGTCAAAGGCGTCGGGGGACCGCCGCTAGCCAAGTATTCAATCACGGTAGTGAAGATGCTGTCGTCAATGGAGACAATCTGGATGTAGCAGGACAATGCCACGAGGAGTTGGGTCGTACACAGAGACGGCGGACCAGTGTGGTAGGACATTGTCAGTGGGGTGTGTTCGGCTGCCCCCGTCGACGGTCGAAGGCTGGCCAGGAGTCTTTCCAGTTCCCTCGAAGCCTTGGCAACCAAAATCAGGGGGTTTTCCTTCCCGATCTCTCCATCGTGGCTGCCGCTGCTCTCCGGAAACATGGTGAACCTCAGGGCATCCTGGACGTCCCACGGTCCCGATCGGACGTAGAATAGTTGGTTGCAGAGCTCCAAGTGCAGTTTGGACAGTAGTATCTCGACACGGTCGATGTTGTACGCCGGCAGTCCAAGATCCGTGGGGCCAGCCCTCGGCATAAGTAGGCTATTGTTAAACTGGTATGGGGGGCCGGTAGACTGGGTTGATGAATCGAGGTCTCCTCGGGCATGCTGTGGTATCTCAGCGGCGGGCGGAGTAATGTGTAGGCTTGTTAGTTGAGGAGAGAATGAATAAATGTCGTCAAGGTCGTTGCTCAAGGTGAGGTCCGTTTGCTGCATGCCAATTCTGTCCAAAACACTCAGGTTGAAAATTGATGTGAACTCTGTCTTATTTCGGGGGCCCGAAGGCCAAACTATATACTACGTAGGAAGTGACTGTATGCATAGGCAGAAGCACTAATTGGAGGCAGCAGTAGGCAGCATTAGGCAGGGTAGGCCACCGTACCCCAACCCCTCTCTGTAGAAGTTGTAACTGGCTAGGCATGTAGGCAGCTACTATGCCAGCAACTCCAAGTCTGTACGTAGGTGACCGTGAACCGTATGAGTTGTTGATCCTAGGTTGTAGCTGTTACAACCTGAGTAAAACACTGTCAAGAGAAAAGTCAAATTCTAGATTGACGGTGCCAACATCCGCCCTATTGATGCTGCCGTCTCCGGGAGACGTATCATTCGTCTTTGATGGCGTGGAAAGATCGTTGGGGTCGATCATGGTTGGCTGCCGTGATGGACTCGGGTTGCAGCAACCTAAGATCAACAACTCATACGGTTCACGATCACCTGCTACACCACCCCCTGCCTATCCCTTTCTCTCCCTTTCTCTTCCTTACGGAGTTGTATAGTTGTATTGCTCCCTTGCTGTCAAGGGAGCGCCCCAAGGGGTAGTTCATCCAGGGAGCGCCCCAAGGGGTAGTGCATCTAGGGAGCGCCACAAGGGGTAGTTCATCTAGTTATTCTATATAGTCCGCCTCTACGGCATCTACAATACATCAGAGTTCGCATCAACAACCTGAGTGATGGCTGTTGGACGGGTCATGCTTGTGACACACTTGATTCCGGATTTTATACACCTATTGCATGCGCCAGAAGATCGCCCTTCATCTCGGTAACATCGCAGCTTTTGGAAACGACAGCGATCACATGCGGAACGTTTCCAAGGAGCTCTGGTGTTGAAGTCGCCCACCATCTTGACTGCAGATGTTACAACAACGAGACGTGAATTACGGGTCAAAAGAAACAGGAGTTCAAAAATCAGCACATCGAAGAAAACAGCTGAACAACAGACAAAAACTTTTGATAGACAGATGAGTTCTATATAGAGGTTTCAGATAAATTAAGGACGAGCTTAATTACCACCCCCCTATTCTCTCCGCATCACCCCCCTTTTCTCTTCCTGCCACCCCCCCCCTACATCTAGCCTAGCGCCGGCCCGTATTAATATTGTTCCACTAATTATATTCACTCGCTTATTAGATACGTAAAACGGCAAGGCTATACAAATCGGAAAGGATGTATACACGAATCGCATAGAATATATATATATACAACAACAACAGTATATTTACTCTATCTACTCTAGCTAGTCTAGAAGCGGAAAGCGCCTAGATAGCCGCCTCTTAATTGCTAATTAAAAGGAACGCCGTATATACTATTATACTAAGGTTTTATACCTAAAGATTCTCCTTTACTATAAATAGCCTCTTCCTTAGGAGTAGACAGAGGGCTATTCTTAAGCGCTGTTTAACTATTAGGGACTAAGGAAATAGAGCCCTGGGCCGCTGTTAAGGTGCCTACTTATCCGGCGGAGAGGTCTAGTGCTGTATTTATAAACTGTATAGGATTGTTAAATACTATAATAGTCCTTTTAACTGCCGGCGTGCCTGTAGAAACACCTGCTATAGTAATTTAGCTAGCCGGTGTCGCAATCTGCATCGATTATATTAGTTCCTATCTACTTACAATACTCTGCTCTTATTATATATAAGCAGTAGCCTTATAAGTTCGCCGGAGATATAATATTCCTCCACGTGATCCTAGTCCTCCACTACACTGTTATACTTACTGCGCTACGCTTACTAGATCTTATTAAGCATTAATTTTAAATTAAGATTAATTATATTAAGTTAAGTTAATAGATACAGATACACGGCTACGGCCACAGCTACTGCTATAGCTATAGCCTACTACTATTTAATAAGGTGTAGTAGAGCCTGTTAGCCGGCCTTTATAATACTATACAATTGCTAGAGCCTTAATAAGAAGGAGAGGATCTATAGAAAGGTCCACCTTATTTAGAATAGGATAATTAAACCACTAGTATTAATAAATATCCTCTAGCACAACTTTATACTTAGCTATTAATATAGTATACAATTTTCGGTGTATTTTATAATAGTATAGCATGCTATATATCCCTCTAAATATTCTGTTATATATTAGGTTAAAATTATTATCTTTAGCTTTTTTAATCTGCTTAACAATTAATTAAAGGCCCTATTTAGTAACTTTTCCAATAACCTTACTAAATTTAGGCAGCTTTACCTTGTGCTAAGAAGCTCTATATTATCGGCTAAGCTGGTCCTTTAGCTCTACACCTTAGCGGTAAATATATTAAGATAGTAGTATAATTATATTATATAAGTTACCTATTAAGATCTAAAGATATAATTTAATACTGCTATTTAAACCTTTAAGCTATAAAGTTGTAGTATTGCTAAAGTATAAGAACTTAGTAGGTAAACAGCAATTAGAAAAGGTTATATTGCTATACTATAGAAGTTGTAATATAAAAAAAGAAAAAAAGTTAAAAGTACAGCCCGCTAAAAGTAGGTTCCTAGCGCGTATAGCGCTAGCTGCTAGTGCGCCCGCCTGACAGTTATGTGACTATGTGACATCTTATAACTACAGGTGAATATTGCTTGCAAAACAAAGGAAAAGGCCGTCTAAGGCCTAATACTACCTTTCTCCTCTGCAGGTCTAAGCTCCTATAAGGAGTAGCAAAAGAAAAAAGGTTGTAAACTAAATAAATAAGCTTCTAAGCGTTGGTGCGCTTAGAAAACACTTGCTAGAGAGTGCTAATACTATAAAAATTGTCTTAATCTTCCTTTTTAGGTTGTTAGTTAGGCAGAAAGACTTAGGCGGAAGAGCAGGGTTTATATAGGTATTTCTAGTAGAATAGCCAGGTGTTATAGTAGTCTAGCTAATTCTTTACGGGTTCCTAATAGTATTAAGGGTTGTCTACCTATTTAACCTTATATTAGACACTGTATCTAACTTATCTAGAATTAATAATTTTATTAATAAAAAACTCTCCTTTCTAGGTTTTTATTTCTTTATCCTAGACTAGATAGATAGGCTGTAGTTCTAGATAAAACTATAGAAGTACTAGATTAGGGTAGTACTAGTATAGTAGGTTTAGGTGGAAAATATTAAATATTCCTTTAGCTACTAGCTAGTTAGGAAGCTGGACTTCTACTACTTTGCTTTTAGGGATAATTTAAGTAACAGGCTAGGGTCTAGCGTATTTATTATCTAGTTTCTTAGCAGAGCGCTCTATTTTCCAGTTCCTAGTGTTAATATAGACTAGGTCTCCTATTTTAAAAAGAGGGGCGTTAGCGTAGTGCGCATTTGCGTGTTCTGCTTATTGTTCTTAAGCCTAAGCAATATTTTCCTAAAGGAATTTAGTAAGCTTTTCTATACTATTAGATAACGTATTTCACGAGTAAGTGGGCCACCCGGGTAAGTGGGCCACCCTACTAAGCCACAACGCCGAATACTGTAAATTACTTAACAATAAACACCTATATTTAATATAGCTAGTTATAGCGTTATTATTAAGGTTGTAGTTATATTACGCGTTGTGTCTCGCGACTTTTGGTCGGGTGGCCCACTCACCCGGGTAGCCTACTTACTCGTGAAATACGTTATTTATTATTCTGCTGTCTAAATCTAGGTCTATAGCTTTAGCCGGTTTTAGGCTAGATTAAGGGTAGTAGCTAGTATCTGCAAAAAACAGCGTTATACCTATAGATATATTAATAGTATTATTTACTTAGAATTCTGCTATTAGTAGCCAGTTAACCTAATTATCTTAGGTATAGTTAATATATTTGCATAAATACTTCTCTAGCTCCTAATTAAAGTATTCTATCTATCTATTAGTTTTAGGGTGGAAAGTAGTAGATATTTTAAGAGATATTCTAAGGCGTTAGTATAGGCGTTTCTAGAACTTAGTAATAAAGTTGCTGCCCCTATCTAAAGTAATAGATTGTAGGATTCTGTATAAGGCAAAAAGTAGTAGGAAAATCTAAACTAGTGCCTTTAAACTTAGACTATTTATAGGAATAAAGTAGCGGCGTTTTATAAGTCTATTGCAGACTACAACAATATTCCGATATTTAATTCCTTAGTAGGTGCAGGCGGGAAGACTAATAATATAGTTAATGCTAAGATATTACTATTACTTATTTAGAATAGGTAAGGGCCTAAGGAAACTATATTTCTTATTCCTTAAATACTTAGTTTATTAGCAAATAGCATAGTTATTGCAGAACTTATTAATTTATTATGCTATATAAGGCTAGTAGTAGTGTTAAATTAGCACAAAATAGGTGCGCTTTAGTCCTTTATAACCTGTAATAGGATAGTTCTATTATTCTATATACAGTCGGCGTCGGAAAGCCTTATTTTTAGGTATAAAAAGTCGCTTATTTATTTTAAGGCGGCGGTTATCCTAGCCTTCTATTTTTATTCCAGTAACTTAGTAGTTAGCTAGGGAGAATTAGTATTAAGCCTTAAGTAGGTATAGCGGCATCTATTAACAGGTGCTAGTTAGGTCTTCTAGAAGAGTAAAGATCTTCTTAGAAACTAGGTCTTCTGCGTACGCAGTTGCTATTAGATTAGAAGTTAGGGTTCTATCCGGGTCCAGAGGTCTAATTAATTCTAGTTTTTGGCTAATAGCTTCCTTTAGATTATTGTTAAACTTATTGCTATCCTCTTTCTTTTCTATAAGGCAAAGGTGTATAGTATTAACTATATTATCGGAAATA